ATATAAATATTCATATGAATAAAGATGTATATATATAATATATATATATTTTGTGTCAAAACAAAACTTTTGCGTGTCTATCTATCAGCAGCAAAGTGTGTTTCCATGTTGAGCTCGAGTCTGGCTTTGCCACAGAAGCCAGACATATGCCAAAGTCACATATTGCAGAAGTATTAGAAATAGTTGTTGTTGCTGCCGAGGGATGCCCCGAGCAATATGCAAATTGAAAATAGGAAAATGGGAAATGGGGAATACGTAATCGAAATTAAATGACTTTTGCTTATTGTGCAATCAAGAATTACTACAAAATAAACTACAATTGAGTCGCATTTACATTTCATTGAATAAATTGCAGCACACGCACACACACGCACACTCGAGCACTCGAATACTGTAAATAAATGGCATAACATTTTTTTTTTTTTTTTGCACAAAATCGCCCTCCCATTTCCATTGCCATTTCCATTACGAAAAGTTCCCGACAGAAGAAATCACATAAAAATACGCACACACACACAGGCAGATACAACATGTCTGTGTGTGTGTGTGTGTTTGTGCGACTTGCAGACAATTCGAAACAAATAAAAAATAAGAAAATTGTTTTTTCCAAAAATTTTCAAATTTGTGCAGCAAATGAATTTCACCCAACCAAGCCCCCTTCCCGCTCACCCCTCCGTCAGCTAACCCTTTCTTTTTGCTTTTCTCGCAATTTGTTGTGGCAATTGAGTCAACTTATTATTGGCATTATCACCTGTCGATGCCATCACCTGGCCAGCCGGCAACGATGAGCTGTTGAAATTGCCAAGCGGCTGTCGCCTCGTGCTTTTGGGCACAATAAAACCAAATAAAAAATGCAAATTACTTTCGGCGCATTCAAGCGAAAATGGCGTTGAAATTGAAAACCCAAAATGGCTGCGACTAGCGCGTAGCGCCATGAATATAGATAGCACACACACACACACACACACATCTATCTAGATATCTCATTGGCTGTGCGTAGCCACAGGTTAACTTTGCTATGACGAACGCACTTAAATGTGAGAAACTTATCAAACACAAATTTTATCGATTGCTTGAAATAAGGGTTAAATATTTCCTTTGTTATCGATAACTTGTGTCGAGTATCATCTCTAGCTTTAGCAGATTGAATATTATAGAAAAATCTAGCCACAGGTTGACTTGGCTATGACGAACGCATTTCATCGATTGCTTGCTTTAAATATGTCATTTGTTATCGATAACTTTTGTCGAGTATGTTGAAATAATATACACATTAGTTCGCCTGTATGAGGTCACACTGTACCCAATTTGCAGGGTATTGTGCCCACGCAGCAGGAAAGTCAATTCTGCATGTCCAAGTCGGTCGGAAACTTTTCCAAAAGCTTCGTTTACACGTTTTTGAGTGGTACACTCAGTACTTTCCCCATCCACCCCCCCCCCCCCCCTCAACTTTTTTTGGAAATTGCAGCGCTCGCAACTTTGGAGGCTCATAAAATATGTACGCAGCAGCCAGGACTGCGATGAGCTGTGCTCCTAGATGGTTAACGATTTGGCTGCGCCGAAAAAAGGGGCAAAAGGTAGCGCAAATCGTTGAAATATGCAAGCGAGTGGTTAGGGGGGGAGGGGGAGGGGGTGCGGCACGGGGGCATGCCCATTGCCATTCGCATTATCAAGGCGTTGGCGTGTCCAGGACGGGCCATGCCATAGAAAACTACGTGTCAGGCATGCCAAAGTTATCAAAAAAAAAAAAAAAAAAAAAAAATAATAATAAACTCCACTCCAGCTCGGATCTGGGCAATGCGTGTGGCAATGGTCAATGGGCATTTGGTTGGTGGGTTTTGTGGTTTTTGAAATTGAACGCATTTGATTGCGTTATTGAAATTGACTGTGGCTTCATTACGTTAATGCTTGAGCGGCATCAAAGGTGAGGCGGGCCCTGCTCCCCTCGCTGTCCCTCGTATTAAGGAATTCAATTATAAATGCCGCCCACCCGGAATTCTTGCCCTCAGCTGTTTGCCGACTTATGAATATAAATCTGCTGCCTGTGTGCGCCGCTTTTTGTCTGGGTCCATACAATTTTGTTTAATTGCCATGTGGGGTTTTCGGCCCCGAGAGCCTAGTTGCCTGGGATTTGCGATTAGTGGCGCCTGTTGATAAATGTGCGACCTATGCCTATTGGCTGTTTACCTTTTGGACATGAGCTGCCCTTGCCATAAATCAGCTGGGCTGCTTTTAATTAACGACTGTTGCTTAAGTGCTTTTTGATCCATTTAAACTGAAAAAAATGGCTGAGAACAAATTTGAAAAGTAACGGTTAATCGATAAAGTTTGCGGGTGGCGGACATATTTATAACCGTTTCGTGTGGCAGTCATCGATAGCGATCTGCAGTGACGAAAGTGGCAACGCTCTGACAACTGCATTATCGATATTTCTTAACCGTTTCGCAAGCGCAACAGCTGTTTATGCCAATTGGACTATCGCAGAACTTTGTGCTCAGCAGCTAAAGTTGATTTAATTGACGACTGATAAGACGAAAAGCAGAGTAAATAGATATAGTTCGATTAATATAGCTAATTAGCACTTATTTCGATATCTTCTAATTAACAATAGCCACCAAAATGGCCTTCAGACGCTGCCACCTGAACCCCAAGAAGACGCTGTTCCTGCTCTGCGATATACAAGAAAAATTCCGACCCAGCATGCCGCTCTTCGACAATATGGTCAAAAATGTGGACAAGCTGGTAAGTGAACTTTGTAGCTGACTAGCTTATCTTAAGAGAAATTAGATTAAACCCGGTTCTCTTTGCAGACAAAGGCGGGCAAGGCGCTGGAGGTGCCGCTAATTGTGACCGAGCATTATCCCGAGAAGCTGGGCAAGACTGTGGCCGAGCTGGATGTGTCGCATGCCAAGGCTGTTACGGGCAAAACCCTATTTAGCATGATGACGCCCCAGGTGAAGAGTGTCATTAAGGACCTCTTCGGCGAGAAGCCACAGGACGTGGTGCTCTATGGACTGGAGGTGCGTGAGGCCAGAAAATGCTTATCATTCCTTACTAAATCTCCATCTTATCTTTTGCAGTCGCACATTTGTGTCGAGCAGACGGCGATTGATCTGCGTGAACTGGACATTAATGTCTATATTGTTGCCGATTGTTGCTGCTCTCGCCTCAAGCAGGATCGCGATTTGGCGCTGGAACGCTTGCGCCAGGCGGGCTGCGTGATAACCACCAGCGAGAGCGTCATCTTCGATCTGGTGCGCGACAAAAACAATCCCAAATTCGATGTGGTGCGCAAGCTGGTGAATCCGCCCTCGGTGGACATGGAGCTGGCACGCAGCGCCTCCAAGCTGTAGACCAAGCTTTTGTTATTTACATGTTTGGCACTTTGCATTTAAAGTAAAAGGATATGATAAGCAAGGTATGAGTCTTCATTAAGCTGGGCCAGAGGCAGGAACAGCATAAGCTCTAGACTCCGTCGAGGGCTTTTGGAATCCCATTAAGTTGTCGCTTCCGTAACGTGCGTCCATTCGCCGCGAACAATGGACGCGTCGCATTCAAATTTAACATTAACAAGGGCCAACCCTTCCGGCTCCTGCCCCCACCCCAGTCCCATATGACAATGCGTATTTTATGGACTCGCCGCGTTGGAGCGTGGGCGAGGCAGCACGACTTTACACCAAAGAGTTGGACACGCACACGGCTCCAAGCTCCTTTCGCCCACTTTGCATAGAAATTTGTGGAAAATCTTCCATCGTAAAGTTTTATTTTAATGTTCGACCGTTGGAGACGCATCCAATTGCAATTGAAATGGATTGTAAGGGATGTCCGCAGACTACACCCTAATGTCTGTGTGTCCGTGTGGCTGCGGGTGTGGGCGTGGCTTCGCCTCCTCCTTAGGCGGATGCGCCTCAATGTAGGCCAGCGCCTTGAGTATGGCCTCGGGCGTGGGTGGTGGCGTCGGCAGCGAGTCGCCCTGCGGATGATAGCCATTCTCATCGGCCGTGTAGGACACCTGAACGGGCACGCCCTCCTTGGACACAAAGTGAAACTGGCCATGCACATTATTGTGGGCATCGCCCGCCTCCTGGGCGCCAATGCCGTTGGTTATGTCATAGCTGTACGCAAAGTTGCCGTGTCCGTCCTCCTTTTTGTGCTCCTCCGCCTTGGCGTGTGCGTCATCGTCACGCGCCCAGCTGGCCGAGATCAGCACCACAGCAATTAGGAACACCTGCAATACCAGTGGGGCGTGGCAATCGAGTGGGCGTCAACAATTACCAAATAGTCAAGAACTTACGTGCTTGTACATGATGCGTTGGGATTTCGATTGTTGCTCGAACTGCGCCTGGCCAAAGGCTTTTATAGCCGGCATCCGAGTACACCTTGCAGGTATGTACCTAAACGATTACCTGTATTATTATATATACATATATGTATATATATATATCGCGGCATATTTATTTTTTAATTTTAAATGCAATAAGCTCCATAAATTTCAACTGCGCCCCTCATTTAATTGTGTCACATTTTGTTTTCTGTTCAATTTTGAAGTCGTTTTTATTTTTTTTACTCAATTTTATTTTATAAACAAGTTTAATTAATATGCGGATGAAATCCCGTAGAGTCGGCCGTATAGCTCACATGTATGGGCCCATTCTCGCCGGGCAGATCGTATTCCCCCTGCACACCGTTCACATTGCCCTGGGCCGATGTCCTGATGCCATTGTCTACCTCAATCTCGTGCTTATACTGACCCGCTCCATTCAGATTCTGTTGATTGATGTGCTTCAGCAGCTCCGCTGCCTCCGGCACCGGCTCCGGCACCGGCACCGGCACCGGCTCATTGGCGCTGCCAATGGCGGCCAGCAGGAGCAGGAAGCAGGCGCAGCACAGCAATTTCTAGATATTCAAGATGTGCACCGTCAGTTCTGGTGTTCCGTAAAAACAACACAAATCTCGTTACTCACATGATTCAACATTATTTTGTTGTTGTGCTCTATGAATTTCAACCAAAAATATAAGAGGGGCAGGCGCTTTTTATAGCTGGCCGCTTGCCGCGGTCTGGGGCTCATCGAAAACGAGTTTTAATTAATCGCTCTGTTGATGATTTGGTTAACCAATTGCCATAAATTAGCATGAGCTGGCCCGAGTTGGCGCGAGTTGGCGTCTGGTTTGGAAGGGCTCGTCAAATTCAATCGAAAACTAAATACAAAATAAAACCAAAAAAAAAAAAAACTGAAATGAAAATCAGCAACAGTTGAACTCCGTGGAAAGTGTATCGACTTAGTTGGCGTCCAGCGCCTGTTTTTGCTCCTTCTGCTCCTTGAGCTGCTGCAGCGGCATCGGCTTGGCCCGGCTGCTCAGCAGCTTGGCAATGCCATTTATTAGCTTGGGCTCCTTGTGGCTGGCCACCTCCTCGATGACCTTTTTCTGCTCCTCGTCGGCGTGCTCCTTGTTGGGCGTGAACACCACCGTTGGATACAGCTGTGCCACCTGTCTGTCTATATCCGTCTCGCCGTCCCCTTGGTTCTTGGATGCCTGTTGATTGCGTTTGTCGTAGAACTTCTCGTAGTATTTGAAGGCCTCGTTGCGCACCGAATTCTTGAGCGCAGTCATGTCCCAGGGCACGCCCAGTTTGCTTTTGATCTTGTCCGAGACGTTGCTGTCGCTGGACGAGAAGAGCGTGCGAAAGAGATGGCTCAGATCGTTGGGTGTCTCCTCCTCGTTGGAGCGCGCCTTTCGCTCCCCCAGTTTATCGTCCTTGAGCAGCATATCGAAACCGATTTCTGGTGCACTCAGGTAGCCGCGATTCTTGAGGTACACAAGCGGCGAGGACCAAGCCGCAATGAGATCCTTTACAATTTCCTTAACAGAGCTCTGATAATTTAGGGTCTTCACATTGCCATTATTCTCATCATTCCTGATTACGCCCTGCAATGTTACAGACACGCTCATCAGGGATATCAATAAAAATAGCAAGGAGAACTGCATCATTGCACAATGAATTTGTAAGTATACAGAAATTGATTCAAATTTGTTGTTTCAATTTCTTCTGACGTGCACTGCGATATTTTTTACTTTTTCAAATTTCAGCGACCTGCAAAACTATCGATAGTCAGACGTGTCGGTGTTATCGCAGCCGCCTGAGCTGATTGCGTCAAACGGTTATGCCTATCGATATATCGTTGGCGAACAGCTGTTGTTTTGCTGGAGACGAGATTTTTGACTCGAACAAGTAAAAACTAACAATTTAACTTATTTGTTTGCGATTGCAACGCCTTTGCTGCACTTTCAGAGCAACGGGCAGCACAACTTCCACGCAATGGTCATAACAAGCAACACAAAACTGCCCGAGGAGGCGGAACTGGATGTGCAGGAGCTGAATCTGTCTTCGGCAGCGCTGCGTGCGGGTTCTTTTCACCTGGGCAAGCAATGCGAATCGGCCAATAATGTTAGTATGCGGCGCTTATTACAGACATAGTGTACGCTCTAAACCATAGCTAAGAGCATGTATTGCATGTGTGCATTTAGTTAATGTGTACATTATCCGGTTAAACGGCGCTGCGAGTCAGTTATATAACCTAACCTCAAAAGTTGTAGCTAATTGTTTTGTTTACGTTTGTTTTCGCAGGAGTTTATGCTTTGTCGGCAAGAGCTGGATGATCCGCGCGCCTGCCTGGGGGAGGGACGCGCCGTCACCAGCTGTGCGTTGGACTTCTTTCGCAAGGTAAAGAAAACCTGCCATGAGGAGTTCATGCAGTACGCCACTTGCCTGGACAAGAGCAGCGGCACCATGGCCTTCAGTCAGTAAGTACATCCATTCCTAGTCCTACTATTTAAGCTTATTCATGCTTATGCCCAACTATTTGCAGTTGCCGCAAGACCCAGGGCGTTTTCGATAAGTGCGTTAAGGATAACTTTGACTGGGAGCGTCCTTCCTATGGCTACTTTACGCGTGCCAAGGTGAGCTGACATGCTCTCTATATATTAAATACTCTGATTGAAATGTCAATTTTGTTATTCAGGTCATCAAAACTACACGCAAGGCGCCCGAGAAGGAGCCAATCAAGTCGTATCCCGATGCTACACCCGGCCTGCCAGAGGATTATCCCACACCACCAGCCAAATACGGTTCACGCTTCTTCTGGCTGGAATAAACGCTGAGGCTAAGTGAAATTTTAGGGCAGCCGTCGGGCCCAACTTGTAATTTACAACATGCATAAAATCTTGTTTCCATTAGTAATCAGCAAAGTTTATTACCATACAACGTATCCGCATCAGGTTCGAGCTACTTTAATGGATTTGCAGGATGCAACTTTGCCCACACTTAAATTTTAATTGCTAATATACACAACTGAGGCGTCTAGGATTTGGACTGTTGACTACCTCAATCGGCGTACCATTTGGTACGCTTGGGTTTCTTCACTTTGCCGCCTGTGACGCCGCCGCCGCCTTCGTTTCCGCTGATCATGTTCTTGTATTTGTTTATCAACGGCCGGAGATCATCCTTTTCCTTTTTGCGTCCTTGTTTGGGTCGATTGTTGGCCTTGCGCTCAGCCAGATGTGTTTCGCGTATCTTTTTGTTCTTCTGTTTGCGCTTCTCTGTCTTCACACGTTTCATGTGCTCCTGCGCCTGCTCCATTATCTTCTTCTTGGAACGCATACGCAGCGAGGTGCCAGGCTTGGCCGCTGTTCCGACATAATCGGCCTCCACATCGCTTAACTTCTTCGGCTGCTGTTGTTTGCCTTCTGCTTTGGCCGCACGCGAAGCCTCCAGTTTCTTGATGTGCTTCTGCAGCTTCGCCTTGTTGTCGCCTTGTGGCGCCAAGGTTTTGGGCGTCGGCTTTTGACCCTTCCGTTTCAAATTGCGCTGCTCCTTACGCTGCTCCAGCTTAGACTTGTATGTGGGATTGTTTTGCTTGGAGCGTTCGGTGCGCTTCTCTTTTATTTTGTGCACAGCGCGATCCTCAATGCTGAAAGCGACAATCGGTCGCTAGAGAACATGAAAAGCGTTAGGCTAAACTCAATCAAGGCAAGGCAAGGATTCACTTACGTGCTGTGTGCCAAAGATGCTGGGATTATTATTCAGTTTACGCAATGCAGCCAATGCCCGTTGATGCGTGTCGAAGGAGAGGAAGCCAAAACCTTTTGATTTGCCCTGCGGATGCTCTGGGGTAACCTTCTGGTCGCGCATCACACGACACTCGTGCGGACGAAAGCCCGTATAGGTGAGCGCCATTTGCTTGAGCTTCTCATTGTCATAGTTCAGTGGCAGATTGTGTATGGACAGGCGGTTGCGTGATACGAAGCTGCAAAATAATATTAATATATTAATGAATATCCAGATTAATGCCGAATTTACCACTTACCGATTCAGGTTCTTTAGCACTTGCGTCTTCACTTGCTCCAGCTCGTGTCGCTTGGCCATGTCGGATGCGGAAACGCCATCGGCTGCCTTTGAATTGGCCATGATGAGACCCTCTCTGGCCAGGTAGAGATAACGTGAATCCTTGGTGGTCTCGTCTTTGGAGTTTTGTGTTTGCTTCGTTTTGATTTCATCGCGACTGAGTGCCGGATGTGGATCTAGCACCTCGTCCATCAATTTGAACTCGGTGCCTGCCTGCAGACACAGATCGGCCGACTCTTTGGCCTTAAACTTGACAAATGCTGTGCCCTTCGAGTGCCCGGACACTGCTTGTCGGTTAATGATCGCATACTGCACCACTCCAAACTTGCGGCACACTTTACGCAGATCCCCATCCTCTGCATCGAAGGGCACGTTCTTAATGAAGACCGTGCAGCCTTGTTGTACATCGTTGGAAATGGTTTTCTCCTGTTTCAACTGGCCTAGCTTCGATTTTAGATCTTTTTTGTCCTTGTCATCTTCATCATCATCATCATCACCATCGTCATCATCATCTTCTTCATCATCATCATCATTGTCGTCCTCGTCATCATCATCGTCATCCTGCTCTTCATCCTCCTCTACATCAGACTCTTTCCCTGATTTGTCTTCACTCTCTATCGTTTTCGCCTTGCTTTCTGCTGCAGTTTTGTCTTCATCAGTTTCTTCCTTTACCTCCAACTTGGGTTTCTTGTCGTCGGGCTCATCTTTTTGTTGCTTGGCTGCATACTCATCCTTGCCTATGGCCCAATCCACAAAGACCTTGCGCCCGAGCAGCTCCTTGCCGTTGGCGTGTAAAATAGCCTTTGATGCCTGATTTACGGTCTCGTATTGCACAAAGGCACAGCCCACCAGCTTGCCATCTCCACGCTTTAGGATGTGTACATCTTCCAGCGTGCCCCATTGGCCAAAATACTGGCGCAGCGCCTCATCCGTAGATTTGTAGCTAATGTTGCGTACAATCAGACGCGCTCGCTTTTTCTGCCGCCGTTCCTTCTCCTCCTTCAGACGCTGTGTGTTGAATGGATTACGCCGCTTGCCGGACTTATTTTCCTCGGAATTATCGTTGGATTCCGGCTCTGTATCCAGCAGCGGTTTCATTTTCTTTAGCTCCATCATCCGCACATAAACAATTGCTCTGCACGTGGAGTTGAATTGTTGACACGCTATCGATAGCCCGATATATCGATAGTTGCGGTGCTGCCACGGTGCCCATCCACCTGTTGCTGGTGTGGCAACACCGTGCAATTGTTTACATTTTGAGCTGCAACGCGAAATTAGTGCAAATCATGGAAAATTATGTTATAATAAACAACTTTTTAATGGATAAAAACAGCTAAAAGTTATGTTCGCTTTTCTTGGAAAAGCTGATGAAATTCCGACGGCGTCTTGAAATAATCAATCAATAGCATCGATGAACGCCGGCCCAGCATGAACATAATGTGACTCCAAGGATTTAATACATTTCTGTACTCGGCAATTTGCCCACGCTCAAAATAATGCTTAACTGTGCCCACTGGCATTTGTGAGCCGTAGACAGCAACGTATCTGCAATAAATTGTGTAAGTTAAATAAATAAATGTTTGTGTAGTTCTTACTTATCGGCGCTTTTGTATATTCTCAGCGGATATTTGGCAACAAATGCACGTATGGCCAGGTTAATGAGCACAAAACCCGCTGCAAAATAATACAAATCGGTTTCATTCGATACCAGCATAGAAATATCTATTTTCCGGGCAATATTCATAAAGCTCATCGTTGATGCCAGCTGCCAGCCGGCAACCAAACCAATTACGGTTACTGTGCCGGTCGACACATTCTTCGTCCAGGTCACATAGTTCTCCAATGGTGCGCGATAAATCAACTGATAATGTTCTGGTAAGTTATCCAACTTTAAGAGATATTGTTCCACATTAACCGAATCCTTATGGCGCCAGTTGCCGCGTACTGCGCTTGTGCTGAAATAAACTATAACTCAATTAACTGTCTTAACCATATTCAGTTAAAGTTCTTACCAGAAATTGCTTTTAGTTAAAGCTGTTGTGTTTATTCTGAAATTTATGCATTTAATGCTGTTCCGTAAAATTGCCGCACACATTTCTGTTTGTTATGTCGCTTAGTGCATATGTTTAGCACAGTATGCTGTTAACGTGCCCCGCGAGCTACGCAAAAGTCAAAATTTACCACATTTTAGCATACTTTGCGCGAGGCCAAATTTGCAAAGCGCGCTTTCTTAAGTTGTTGGCAAATAAGCTTAATATCAGTAATTCGGTTTTTATAATTTCGATTTAAATTTAAGTAAGTTTATTATTACATTTACATACGAAATTGAACCACAGGGTGATTATTGCGTTTGCCCGCAACTTGTTTGAGCTGAATACTCTGCTTAACAGCTGAGCATATTTGTGTGTGTGCGTAGTAGGCGTTGCGTTTCCTGAAACCAGCTGAGCGTTTGGCGTTGCCACCCATTCAGCAACACAACACAGCAGCATATTTTGTTAAGGAGCTGATATTTTGTTAAAAAAGTGATTTTAACGCAATAGTTTTATACCGCACAATTCTGGAATATATAGCGTATTTCGGGGCAGATATGGACTTAAAACGTTTGGCATGCAAGACGGGCCTGGGCGATGGCCCAGATGCCAAGCGCGCTACAGCTGCAGACGAGGAAGAATGTCTGCAGCTTGATCAGGAATCAGGTATAGATAAAGATACGAGCGATGCACAGACAGAATGCTTGCAATTAGATGTTATCAAGGAAACCGATTGTGATAGTCTAAAAGCTGAACGCGACAATCTGTCGCCCAGCAACCATGTGGCGCCATATACTGGCAACGGATGTGCGCCTTCATTAGAATCATTTATGTTCCAGCAGACTCCTGCTGGCAGTCAGCTCTGCTCCTGGATGTCCAATACAGAGTCCAAGACCTCTGCCAATGATGTGCCCACACTTTTTGATTCGGAAAAGGATTCCAAAGCGAATGCCCAGAGTAAGTGACAGCCAGCCAAGAGCCAATCTCAATTAGTTTCTCAAAGCGAACTCGATCTCTTCCGCACCAGCTGCCAAGCTTAATCGCAAGGCACTCACCAATTTACGTCGTCAAAACGCGTTGCGTGCTCTTGAGTTGGAGCGCGAGTTGGCTACAAAAACACCCCAAGCACCGACGCTTCTTGTACGCTTTCCAGATCCCAAAATCAGTGTCACTTCGGTCAGTGAATTCTCGGAGAGCATCCGGGATGTGGTTTTTCCGACAAATGTCTCGCAGCGCTATTGCCTGGTGCATCTGAAGGCCGGCGCGAATGTTGAACGCACCATTGAGGAGATAAAACAGGTGCGCTTCGGCCATGGCCGTCTGCACGCCGAACTGAAGACATTTACCGATGAGGAACAGGCCGAATGCATTGATCCGTGCTCGCTGTATGTCAGCAATATACCCTTCAACATGAACGCCGCTGACATAAAGGTGTTCGTCAACTCCATGCGTGTCGACATTGGCGTCATGAAGCGCCAGAAACGCGCACGTTATGCATTTGTGCGCTACGCCAATGCCGAGATGGCCATGGAGGCATTCAGGGATCTGGTCCGTCGTACACTTAACAATCGCATATTGACCGTACGCTATCGTCGCCTACGCAAGCGCCTGGCCCATCCGACTGCCGCCTCGATGTGCGCCATATCCAATCTGACCATTGACACCATCGCCACAGATGACGATGGCGTTGAATGTCGCGTCATTTCACCACCGCCGGTGGAATCGATTACCATATTGGATAGCGATGATGACCAGCACTGCGAGTCGCACAGCGTTGTGAGCCTCAGCAGCAGCATTCCACACAAGAAGCGCGAGAGCAAGATGACTGCCCAGGAGAAGGAGATTCAACGCCTCAAACTGCAAGTGGCCGAACATAGTGCCATTATACGGAGCTTACAGAAAAGAGAGGGCAGTATTGGTAAGTTGAACCGATCCAGCTGGACCGAATCTCAAACGAACTAAGTGCCGCCTTAATTGTAGCCAATGCCACTACCAAAGTAGAGCCACAATCGGATTTAACCACAGACAAATCATCATTGATGCAACGCTCACTATCGCCGTGTTCTAGCTATGATATCAAAATGGAAAATGAATATTTGGGCATAGCTCAGAGTACGCCCGAGCCTGAACCGGACTCATTGCCAGATGCTCAATCGCATTCGCCATATCGTGGAACAACTTGCCCAATTGATGGCATGGAGGATCCCATTAAATGTAAACACTAAAAATAACCGCAACTAACCCATTTTATATGTTATATGTATTGTGTGTACCCCTCCCTAATATCTTACTTAGCATCCGATTGTTTTGGCTGGCTGATTTCAGGTCTCGGACGTCGCAAGAGCACAAAATCCAGCGCACAGCAGCCGAACAAAGAGAATACAACTAAGAAAGCTCCAAAGGTTGCCAATCTGGAGGTGCATGCGCAGGTCGAAGCCGATTTGGATACATAGGATAGGATTTTCATATCTACCAAATTGTAGCACCTCAAAATTATTTGCGTATAAGACTTTTTAATCAGCGGCATATATGTACCATATAGATATATATATATATATATATATATATACATGTGTGTGTAGGATAGCTTAGTAGTGGATAGAGTAGTAGTTTTAACATTCATATTTATTTTTATTTAATGTTTTTCGATCACTTTTGCAACGTACAATTTTATAAAATTGTCATCATAATAATAGTACGTAAATTAAATAATATTTCGGTTTTAAATATTAAACCCGAACAAATATCGCTTAAGACTTTTCTTACAATCATACACTTACAAATTAAGTATACATATATAATGATCAAATGTGTTCGTTTTTTTTTTTTTTTTTACGATCCTATGTCCTTTGATTAAAGAGCCTTAATTTCTATAGTTAATTGTTACACGGCTTGAATTTGTCGGGTAACAATTCGAACTAAACTAAAAATATGTTCATATGTTGATCGATTTTTTTTTGTTTTTTTTCATATGGCTCGTTATAGTTAATATCGCAAATTGTCATCTTTAAGTTACATATTATACTCGTAGTCTCGGCTATGATATGAATTCTGATCTCCTGTTTAGTTTTGCATACTTTCCAATTTTATGGAATGTTAATAACTATTTAAGATTTAAGTTAAATTACATTTAATGCTGCTTTTCTGCTTTTGTATTTACACAACAACGATTTTAAGGCACCTGTGTTTCACATCATATATGTATTTATATATATATACTTTGTTTTATAAGTCGTATTATATTCGAATACAAAATTCAAATATATTTTGGTAGCCTGAACTGAATCTCTTGCAACGTGCGCTTAAATTGTATAAACTTTACTAAAATTGTATATTATCCATGGATAACTAAATTTCTAAGAAATGCGCAACGTTCAGTTATTTTAGCTAATTATGAATTTCGATAGGCAGCAGAGCAGAATGGTGCTCAGCAGCACACTGGCAGCGGAGCTACTGGGCAGCTGATTGGACGTCGCACCAGATCCCGAACCCGATCCCGTACGTTCCGCCACTTCGGGCTCATCATTGGATTGATTATCGCCGACAGCTGTTATCGAGAGAGATCAAAGATTGCACGTAAGAAAATGTTTGAAATTTAAAAAAAAAAAAAGTTTTCAATTTTATATCAACTATGCATATATCTTAATCAATATCTATTCGGGGAGAATTGTACAGGTGCAAGACTTTTGAACAGGACTGTGTAAAGATTTTGAGTGTAGGAAAAAAAAAAAAAAACAAAAACGTATAAATTAACTGTCAAAATATGTAAAGGGACTAAAAACTAAAGCTAAGCTAACTTAAAAGAAATACAAAAAAAAAAATAATAGTAATTATATATATAAATAATTAATGCAACATACTGTTCCACGCTGTGCGCAAATGTTTTATGTTGAATTCGTAATTGAATTGGCGTTTTCTTGATTGTTTCTGGGCGTTTTTCAATGGGCGGCAGCGGCGCAGGCTTTTGTTTTTTTTTGGGCGTGGCATTTGTGTGTGATTTTTCTTTTTTTTTTATATATATATATGTGTGTATATATTTTGTGACATTTTACTTTTCAGACAGAGATCACTCAAGCAGGCATATTTATATGGACGTAATACAACTTAAGGCACGCGTTTTGCATTGGTATAAATACAGATACAATAAATGTATGTATGTTTGTATATATATGTATACGATATTAATACAGTTATACGGTTGATGTTGGACAGAACACACGAAACGAAACTGTGAAGGAACTGGAGCTGGAACTAGCGCGCGCTTTTTAAAAGTATCGGTTCGTTAGGCTCCACATCCAGCCGGGCAGCAGACCCATGCCAGTGCCCGTATTTGTGTTCGTATTTGGAATCTGCGGTACTGCATTATGGCAATATACGTTTGGATGGAATTGATCGATTGATCCCAACCGAAATGAAATGAGAGACAGATATGTAATAAAGAAAAATTGATAAAAAAGATAATCGCATAAATACAATTTCAGCAAGTCGAAGCGGTTTACAGCGGGCAGCTTTTGGGTGTGCGCAGGATTACGTGCTGTTTGTGACGTAACTAAATACAATTTGATCTACGAATGATTGCGATTGCGATTGCGATACGTTAAGCAAGCGATAGCGATAGCGATAACGATAGCTAATAATCAGTTCGATCAACTGGCATAAAATACAATTGCTAAAAATGAAGCACACAGAGCTACAATTAATAAAGCTTAATTACACGCAGACACACACATCAGAGATGGGAGAGCAGCTTTTAATTGATGACACACACACACACACAGATTGGGTGAGGGGTAAGTCGTAAGAAGCAAAAGCAAAAGCAAAGCGGCGGGTGTGGTAAATCTTTCGATATGCGCGCGTTGCTTTGTTTTTGCTTTCGTTAAGTTCTTGTTCTTTTTCTTCTTGTTATTTAGTTGTGTGTGTGTGTGTGTGTGTGTGAGCGCGTGCGTGCGTGTGTGTGTGCCGTGGAGTTCGTTGTTATTGCTGTTCTTTTCATTTGATTATGTTTTTGCTTTTCATTTGTGTTCTGCAGTTGTGTTGTTGTTAATTGTTCTGTTTCGTTTTTATCCGCGTCTCTTAAAGCCTGCAAGAAATATGTACATACGTACAAGTGGATGACATATACAGTTGAAGTTCAGAGCTCGATTTATGTAAATTGAATAAGTTATGGGCAACAAGCACGTGCATGCATGTGTTAAGTATTCAAATTGGCCGACCGACCGACCGTCGGTAATCGTGCAATCTGGGTCATAACATAACGGTTGTGGACCACATACATACATATGTACAAACGGTGGATAACTTATGAGGTAATGAGTGTCTGTGAGTGTAAGTGTCAGTGTGGGTGCTGTGTATGTGTGTGTGTGTGTAAGCCATGCGATTCGTGGATTTAAGAATATTGATAAAACATGCAATTAAACAGATTTGTGTACACAAGATTGTCGAAAAGGAAGAGCAACCCAAAAAAAAGAAGCCTTTAGCCGGTTGAATTTGGTGCCACAGGTGTCAAAGAGGGGTAACAAAATTTTTGATTTCGATTTCGAATAAAACGTTGTACGCATACAGTGTTGGTAAATGCCATAAATAACTACGGGATATACGTATTTTTAGTTAGGGGGGAATAACATAATATTAATATTACCATAGTACTATATAAATATGTAGGTATATACTTAGTGGAGGAAGGTGTACGTACTAAGGATTGCAAAAACTACACTTTGTGTGGATTTACTACTCGATAGTTACCGATAGCTGGTTGGGTGTTGGGTTCATTGTGGTGTTTAACAAATAGTGTTGTAAAAGTGTGCATAGGTGTAAATGTAAAGCTCAGTGTAGTGTTGTAAAGTGTTCGATTAGCTCGAGATTAGTAACTTCTTAGTTCAACTCTATAGTTAGATTAGTCAATTAGAAGTAGCATGCGCATGCAAAGTATCGAGTGCATGTGAAGGAGACTTAAATGCTAGATTGATAGATTGATAAGGTATATTGCCTGGTACCGCGCCAAGAGGTAGCGGGGGTGAAGTTAGTGAGACCGACTGACCAGTAGTTTGTTTATTTTTGTTTGTTTTTTTTTTTTTTTTTTACACTGTAAGCAAGATATGATTATAATATTATCATTTTATTTTGTACCTATAATAATTTAAAATTTTGTTCAATTTCGCCTGGGTTTGATTTTATTTGATTGTTTTTTACATGGTATGCTAAATTGAGTTGGTTAGTTAGCTACGAAAGAGTTAGGTTATGTTTGAACATTGTTAGAGAAACAGTTCTAGAAATGTTAACAAACGAAAATTCAAATAAAAAAGATAATATGGTTAGGAGCTTGCCATTTCCACAATTGGACTAAAAAATATATATAATTTTGTTCAATAAAATAAAAATCATATAACCAAAAAATTAAATAAATAAAAAGTGTTATGGAACTCTTTGAAACTTTGGGTATTAGTAACATGAATCAAGAAACCAAGTGAAAATAAAGAATTCTGTTAAAATTAGTAAGAACTTCAGGAACCATTAGCCAGTAGATAAAAGTAGATAAAAGATAATGTTGGTTAGGAGCGTACAAATGTACAAGTGTTGAGAGGAGAGTGTAGCCTATAGCTGGTTCAGTTTGAGTACACTGAAACAAACTAAAGTAAAACACCACAAAGTAGGAAATATCAATTATATATATACACAAATGTTTACAGGAGCTACGAGTACTAATAGCAGAAATTGGACATACACAATTCGAGAATTAGTTTTCAATAAAAATAATGTATTTTCTTTTCTTTTATGTTCTTTTTTGTTTTTGTTTTTTCTTTTTTTCAGGTTCAAACGTTATTTGCTGGGCAATAAAAACAAACACATTGACTTCAATAATAGAATTGAACTACAATACGAGTACGAGTACGATACGATACATATATAAACTTAATTAAACATACCATATTTGTATAAATTCATTTAATGGATACGTCTCTGTGTGGAGAGACTGCCAGATTTTTAAGGATTTTTAAAACATTTTTTTGGCTGGTAAGAAATAACAACTCATACATGTTTATGAGATCTTTTTGACTTTAGTTTCGATCTTTCGAATTTCTATTAAATATTTTGTTTACAGTTCAGCTACTATCGAATCCGCTTGGGACTCAAACAAAACTACCGCCGAGTCGATCCCACTCACCTGCGTCCAGATCAATATCACCATTACCATCATCAGCATGCAGCCGCGATCGTTGCTCAGACTCAAATGGATCCTCTTCAAAATTACCTGTGGACGAGGGCGTGTTCTTGCAGCCGAACCACCAGTGTGCCGTCGGCCTGGGGAATGCCGGCGTGGCCGTATCCACCTGTTAAAGAGAACGCAGTGAGTAGCATTAGTTAGCTTTAGTTTCCGCCAACAGATTAGATCCTAAGTTCAACTTACCGCAAAGCGTGCATCGTGGAAGCGATAGTACTTGTCGCCCTTGAAGAAGTACGTGTAGCCATTTGTGTATCTGAGCGCCGCGTCCAGATTGTTGGGCACGCCCTCCCAGTTCGAGATGGGCTTGGGGTAGCTGGCCTTGACGGGTGGTCGTTTGGCCGGATCGAAGCGCCAGAATTTGCTGCCCTTGAAGAAGTAGATCTTGCCATTGCCGCCCCAAACCATGGCCGCATCCAAATGATCGGGTATGCCCGTGAAGCCCTCGCTAATCTCCTTGGGATAGGCACCGTCCATTTGAGTGCCCTGATAACGCCAGTATTGAGTGCCCTTGAAGAAGTATGTTTTGCCATTCTTGTACGTGAATGCTGCATCGATGTTGCCGGGCAATCCTGGCCAACCCTTCGATATGAGTTGCGGGTAGCCCTCCTCCACGGAGTCTGTTGTCAGTTTGTAGTATTTGTCACCCTTGAAGGCGTACGTTTCGCCATTCGCTGAGTTGAACAGGGTGTCGATCTTGGAGTCCTTGCATATGGAATCATCCAGCGGCACCTTCGGTGGCGTAAACGATGGTCTGTGCGTGCTGGGCGGGTAGACATTGGTGGGCGTGTACTGATTGGTCTTGCGTCCATATAGCGATTGTATGGCCGCCTTGTCGTCCTCATCCAGTTTGAAGACGGGCTCGAAGCCGCGATAGAATGGCGCCATCAGCGCTGAGCTCTGATCTGAGTGCGAGAGGCCCAGAGAGTGGCCAAATTCGTGGGCGGCTACCTGGAACAGATTCGTGCCGCGTGGCGAGCCTATGGTCCAGAGTTCGGCATCATCAAAGTGGGCATCGCCGCCAAAGACGGGGAAGAAGGCGTGAGCCAAAGTGCCTCCTTGGCCATCGAAGGCATCGCCATCGCCATGCTCGCTCTCAACGAATCTGGCGAGGGGAGAGCGAAAGAGAGAAAGGGGTTAGAGAGAGATAACTAAGGATAAAAATGAGTTCAAGTCAATATTGAACGCTTTTCGCTTATAATTCCCAACTAATTTAAGCCCAGTCTTAACCATATCCCTTCCGAGCACTTACTTGATCTCAATATGCACGGGTCCCGATGTTTTTCGGGTGAATGTTAGATCTGTATCCTCGCTCCAGACGGCAAAGGCGCGTGCGATTTCCGCATCGACATCATTGCGCTTCAAGCGCTTGGGATACTTGGAGATTTTATAGGTGAGGTTCTTGACACGCCAGCGACTGCCCTGGAGTGCATAACGCTTCGACCGACTATCTCCGGTGCCGACACGATCTCTGACACCGCAACGTGGCAGTGACATCAATTTCATTGTCTCCTCATCTAGTTCGCCAGTGATATTGAGTCCAGCAAAGCTCTGGAACTCCTGTATGGCACTGACCCATGTGTGCTTATCCTGCAGTCCGCTATTGGCCGGATTGCGCGCCGAGGCGGGCAGATAGCCAAACTGTGACAGGTAGATCTGCAAGGTAAGAAAGAAGGGCACAAATTAGAGGGTTTCTTAAAGGAACAGCTGGACTCAAGATCAATGGCTTGCGCCATTTGCTGCCAGCGGGTGCTTGTGGATTGCCGCTGATTTATGGCGATCAGATAAGACACGTTTCGCCTGCCTTGTAATTGTCCTGCGGAGCCAGGCCAACAGCTCCCACCCGGGAACGTCATTCGTCATTCGTCACATTTCTTGCGGGTATATGCAAGAATAAATTTGCCGCAAAAACTATCTGACTTGCATAATTTATTACCCAGCGCATTGGCATGGCAATGTTTTATAATACAAATCGCCCCCTGTCCCCTCCTCCTACTTTTAGGCCAGACTAAGAGCGAATCACAGTTACGTGACTTTAATTATGCGATTCGAGGTGTGAAAAACAAACTCAGTTCTACTCGAGACGAGACAAGACGAACCGAGACGAGACGAGAGCTGAGTCAAGTTAAGGAAGTGTTTTGGTTAGCTTTTTTATGGCAACATTTTTCAATTAATTGAACGCATGTAAGTCGAATTAAATTGTAACGCGAATCTTTGTAGAACTGCCAATTGTGATTAGCATTGAATACCAGACAACACTCTCTCTCTCTATAGGAAGTACGTATACAATGCGAGGTTAGAGATGCGCCTAACGGTTCCAAAGACAATTTATTTCTCACTAATTACAAGCTTTAAGTGCAGCAATTAGTATAAATACTATATACTGTATTTATATATATATATATATAGTACTTTATATATATACATGTATATCTGGTATTTATTTCATTTGCAGCTTGAGCAAATTTTTTGAAAGTCAGCTGAATTCACGTAAAGCCCATTTGGCATGTGAAACATGTTCCGTACGCCTCATGTGTCGCACATTTTTAATGGGTCGCAGGCAGAGAACAGCATATCAAATATGTACCCTGTGGTATACTGTGCCATATAATGCTGCCAAAAAAAAAAAAATTAAGAAAAACTTAAAAAAAGAAGCACTCAGAAGCAACGGCGCTTGCATAATATCAAACGATCCACTCAGCTGACTGATTTGTTTTTTATATGCATATATATATTTCTTATAGAACTTTTTTATGATATTGTATTTTTATTTTTCCGAGGAAGTAAACTTTTTCGGCCGAAACGCATAAGTATGCGTCGCGTTGCCCCAATCCTAAGTACTTAATAAACTGGGTGGTGCTGCCGTCTTGGCGTGTGGTAACCGACACTGGACTGTGTCGGGGGGACGGGGATTGCGGCGTGTGGGCGGGGGCCTTAGACTCGCCTCAAAAGGTAAATGAACTCGCACGCTTTTGTGGCTTTGTTTTGCTTTTCCTGTAAACATGACTCTGACAAGCCAACAATCAATCTCGGGGGAACTGCAGAATCAGTCACAAAGAGCGATATGCAAATCATTTGCAATTTTGCGTTCCGCTTTTCTGTCAAAATTATTACACAATTAAATTAATCTGCCTCTCTGCTCTCCTCTCTCATCCCCATCTCTATCTCTCTCTGTCTCTGTCTCTGTCTCTGTCTCTGTCTCTGTTATTGTTTTGATAGCCTGGCGGGGTTATAAAGTCTTTGGAATGCAGATTAATCGGGCATATTTCCTATATACATATGTTATTTATTATTATTATATATTTTTTATCTTTCCAATTAAATATTCGATATATTTTTTGAGTTATTCTTTTTCAAAAATGGAAAAAAAAAACCATAATCGATTTTACATTCTGTTAGCGTCACGCGCTGTTAACGTCACATTAACATATACGGCGCAAATTTATAAATCGTTTTAAAGTTGCGGGTTTAAGGAACTAGTTGGCAGCCGATTCGCCAAATGAACCTTTGGCCGTGAAGCATAACTCGCACATTTTTCGGTTTTATTTCAATTTCTTTATTATTTAAGAAGTACTTCAGCTTCGTTGTGCTGCATGTTAAACTCTTAGGCCTAATCTTGTGCCTTTTCCATTGTCAAGTGGTACTACGAAACGAATGTATGATAATATTATTTTGGGCAGTTCCCCGTTAATTGACGCATCGTTCGGGTTCAAACAGAGCCAGAGGCTTGACCTTGTCTGATTGCGGCGAGGAGGGGTTTTTGAAGTGCGGGGAGGAGATTGTGTTTGTTATAGAACCGAGCTGCCTGCACATTCCAGCACTCAATGTTCAATATTCGCATTATGCATTATGCAATTAACATAATTGCAACGATGAGCTGCAGCGAATCGTGGGAAATACATGAAAGCAGCCGCGTCAAAATTCCAATTGAACTTGCATTCGTTTATTAATTTTCAACCGGCTTTTGGCCCTGGCAGTGCACGTAGAACATGTTTGCAAAGCGGGCTCGTAAATCTTATAAAACAAAACACAAATTGTTGGGCCAATTGTCACTGAATCGAAGGCAACTGTCGATGAGTTGGCCCAGTCACAGCCCAGATATCTCAGGTGTTTGTGTTTGCATTCGTGATAAGATACGCTCGAAGCGGCAACAAGCAGAGAGACAAGAAGAAGAAGTAGAATGAGGAGAAGAAGAACAAGCGGCCGAAGTGCCTTTAGAACTGTATTCAATGAGTGCTTTACGGGCTTATCATTTGACAGCCAATGATTCATTTGTGCTGCTGACGAACCTTTCGACTGCCCGAATCGAAACGAATATAGTGCGTCACAATTTAGAGGATTTCGAAACGGAAGTGGCCAACGGAAATGGCTCAATAAAGTGTGGATGTGACATATTTCATGAAACACATACGCAAAGAAAGTTATCTATTAACAGGTGTATTTGCCTGTACTTTATTTATAGAGTGTAGATACATATATAATTCAAAGAGACAGACATTTAAAAGCTTATTAGAACATTGATAACAAACACCACATTGACGCTACAATCGTTATCGATTAATGAGCTTTTAATGTGCAATGATATATTAAAGCATATCAAGAGAATTTTTTGCTTAAAAATATGTGAACACTTTTAATAAGAGAAAGTTTATTAAATGAAATAGCCATGCAATCAACACGCTGATCGATAACAGTTTAGTTGGATAACAAATCGATCGATAAGTCTATCGATAACCGACTGGTTGCATATCGTTATCGAATAATCAGCTATAACAGCGATATATTAAAGCATGTCTGGGGAATCTTTTGTTTAAAAATCTGTAAGGAAAGTTTAAAGTTTATTGTATTTAAAGTGCATCAACATCAAACAAGATGCAGTGCGATTCGATCGATAAGTCTATCGATAACCGACTAGCTGCAACTGTAATCGGTATCGACCTATCGTTGTCTGTCGCCGTCCATCGAGCTCTATTTGCATTACAATGTCGACAGCGCACGTAAATTATACAAAATTATAATGCAAACAGTTGGCGCGGGTTCACGTATCAGCGCACGTTGAAATTGCACTTCAATTTATGATTATAACGAGTACACAAACACCAGAGACATTGACACGAATTGCCCACGAAATACAAAAAAAAAAAAAAACTCTATATATAATAACAAATGTGGCAACAATTTTCAATGCTGCCACATGCTGCTGCTGCACAATATGCAAATGGAAATGTCAACAGCTCTAAAGGAGCTCAAAATTGTACTCAAAGCAGATACTTGAAGTGAACATAGCTGGGAGCACTCGGCATTTGTCTATGACTGACCTCTTTGCCTACTTTAGCGGCTCACTGGCTCACTGGCCACGCCCACTGCGCCCCCCGCAAACACTGCAGTTGAACTTGTGCCAGGCAGCAGCAGCAGCAGCAGCAGCAGCTGGCGTGCGGCATTTGCAGGAAATGCCTAAAGGGCTTTGCATTTTCAAAGCCAGTACACAAAAAAAAAAAGTTATAAAAAAAAAAGTTGAACAAACTAGAAAAGTGTGCACAAACTTTTGTTACTCACTGTATAGCAAAGTGTGTGTGTGTGTGTGTGTGCACACTCAAGGTATGCCCAGTGCTCACCTTTAAAGTTCTTTGATTGTTTCGCATGCGATCTAAAGATTTGATTGCCGGCTTGAACTGCTTGCGAATTATAAGCTTTATTTCATGAAAATTCCCATTTGTACAATGCAATCCTTTAAGTCATTGACCCCAGACGAAATTTACGGTAAATACCAGTAGTTAACGCCTCGTTGGCGTGTTTTGACCCTGCCCGGTCGCCACTTAAGGGCGTTAGCTAGCTTCGTACGTTCTATATATATATATTTCCGGCCAAACAAGAACAGGACATGCATAAATTATAAACAAGCTTCGCTTTTCTTTTTCTCCTCTCCTCTCTCTCGCTCTCGCTCTCTGCTTTTTCCACATTTCACTTGACCGGAAATTGATGAGAAAATTGTATTTGCCCGGCCAAAGAGGGCCAGAGGGTGGCTTGTTTGTGCTTGTGTTTGTCTCTGTGTGTGTGTGGGATTGGGGGGTGGGGTGTGTGTATACGTGTCTAGGTCTAGGTACATTGGGGTGCGTTGCTGACGCTTTAAATTTTCCAACTCGATTTGGGTCAAGCAGCGCCGGGGGTCAATGACTTCCGTTTGTTTGAAACGCTCGCGAACTATTTAAGCCTAGACCTAATTTCAGAAAACGCATCGAGAAAGTGAATGCAGGCAACAGATCTGCCAACTTGACCAACTCGTTTAGCCAACTGGCCAACTGTGTTTGTGTGTGCTTGTGTTGCTCTTAATGATTACATCATTAAAAGCGAAGCCAAGTCGCAGTCGAAGCCTGGCTCATAAATGGGTTTGTGTGGGGCAAAACTGGGCCAAATGAGCCGCTAAAATGTTGCCGCAAAGTTGCGCAATTTCGCTGCCAGCCTTAAGTATATAATACATAAATGCAGGCTAATAACTTTGTCAGCTGCTGCTAATTCCCATAACTCCCATTTGACATTTAGCCCAACTGTCGGTTTTGTGGGCGTCTTCGCAGCACTTTTTGCCCTCTGTTAATTCGCTGGGGCGATAAATAAGCGCCCGATCTTAAGATAACCCAAGTGTTTTATGCAAAACTCCC